CCTTCCTTCCTTCCTTCCTTCCTTCCTTCCTTCCTTCCTTCCTTCCACAAACCTCACTCCCTTCTAGCACTGATGATGTTACCTAATCAGGTCCTGAAACGTCTGCAAGAAAACCACCTCAGAGAGCACCAAGGACCCCCACAGATCATCCGTTTACCTGGAAACGATGAGAATTTCCCACCCACCGGTCATCGTTCCACCGATCTCCCACCCGTGGGGGCACCTTCTCAAGGAGCATCTCAGGGACTTTGCCCAGGCCCTCCTCTCCTTCCTTACCTGAGAGACCGGCGAGTTGTTCAAAATGGGGCTGATGTGCTCGGTGGCCAGATCTGCACAGGCGGACATGCCTAGAGTGGCCACCAGAAGAATGACCATGGCTCTCCAGCGAGACCAATGGACCACTGCACTGTGATGGTGACCGGGCACTACGAGAAAGCCAGAAAAAGAGGCCTCAGGGGAGGTGGGCTTTCCTCATCTCTGGCTCAACGTGGACCCCCCCCCAAGAAAAATTTGCAAAGAAACAGCAACCCCCCAAAAGTTTATTTCCACGTCAAGGTGTGTGAAATTAACACTTTAGGGGGCCAATCCTTAGAGATAATTGAACAATAAGAAAAAGCTTTATAGAGCTTTTGCAAAAGGAACCTCTATGCTCTTATAGGCATCTCTCTGGTTGTTGGAAAAAACCTCCTTTTGTTTTTTTCCCCACTTTACAGGGCTAATCCTGTAAGGAAGGCAGGAAGGAAACATTCTGGTGTTGCTTCTAGCCTAATATCGAAGAACTTTTGAGGACACTAGAGATGATATTGATATGGGAAGTATAACAACTGGACCAAACATCACTATGAAGGAGGTTGAACATGCAATAAAAATAGCGAAAACAAGAAAAGCCACAGGACCTAATGATACCCCAGTAGAAATTTTAAAATTGCTAGAAGACAATGGGAAGAAATTTTTACTGAAGCTCTTCAATCCAATATTATGAAACAGGAGAGATACCGAATGATTGGCTAAAGTCAACCTTTGTGACAATCCCCAAAAAATAAATGCAAAAAAGTGTACTGAATACAGAACAATAAGCTTAATGAGTCACGCTCTGAAAATATTCCTGAGAAGAATTCACACAACAACATACAACAAAATTGAGGAGTGTCTAAGTAACAGACAATTTGTTTCAGAAACAATTTTGGTACATGAGATGCCTTATTTAGCATTCAAGTTCTCGTACGGTGTTATAGAGATGTCAGTCACAGTGTTTAAATGTGCTTCATTGATTTTGAAAAAGCATTTGATAAAATAGTTAAAGGTTCCCCTCGCACATCCATGCTAGTCATTTCCGGCTCTAGGAGGCGGTGCTCATCACGCTGTCCGAAGACGTCTCCATGGTCATGTGGCCAGCAGGACTCAACGCCGAAGGCGCATGGAATGCTGTTCCCTTCCCACCAAAGTGGTCCCTATTTTTCTACTTGCACTTTTTTTTTTACATGCTTTCCAACTGCTAGATTGGGAGAAGCTGGGAGAAGTAACGGGAGGTCATTCCGAAACACGGCGCTGGGGATTCGAACCGCTGAACCACCGACCTTTCTGATCGACAGGCTCAGCGTCTTACTCACTGAGCTACCGCGTCCCTAGGAATACATGGTGCTTAAATACAGTTTCAAACCTCCGGCCTTGGTCAGTGCCCCTCAATTCTATTAGCTGCTTTTATGGGTGGATTCCCCCCGTCTCCTTCCCAGAAACTCCAACCCATCTGTTTATTCATTTCCAGTAATCCAGTAAATGTCATCAAAAAAGGCCAACAAAGAATGTTCTTTCTGCGCCAACTCAGGAAGCTCAAACTGCCCAAGGAGCTGCTGATCCAGTTCTACAGAGGAATGATGGAGTCGGTCATCTGCACCTCTATAACTGTCTGGTTTGGTTCTGCAACCCAACAGGACAGACACAGACTTCAGAGGGTAATTAGGACTGCAGAAAAAACAATGGCTACCAACCTGCCTTCTATTGAGGGACCTGTATCCTGCATGAGTCAAAAAGAGGGCTGTGAAAATATCTACAGACCCCTCACATCCTGGACATAAACTGTTTCAACTCCTACCCTCAAAACGACGCTATAGAGCACTGCACACCAGAACAACTAGACACAAGGGGAGTTTTTTCTTCCCCAAATGCCATCACTCTGCTAAACAAATAATTCCCTCAACACTGTCCAACTATTTACAAAGTCTGCACTACTATTACTATTCATCTTCTCATCCCTCCTTATCACCCATCCCCTCCCACTTGTGACTGTATGACTGTAACTTTGTTGCTTGTATCCTTACAATTTATATTGACTGATTCCTAGTATAATTTGATTGCTTATTGTCCCCTGTGACTATTATTAAGTGTTGTATCTGATGATTCTTGATTCTTGATGAATGAATCTTTTCTTTTATGGACATTGAGAGCATTTGCACCAAGACAAATTCCTTGTGTGTCCAATCACACTTGACCAATAAAGTAATTCTATTCTATTCTATTCTATTCTATTCTATTCTATT